CAGTTGACTGCGCCATAACTCTTAGCTGATCTCTATTAATAACTTTATATGAGTAGCTTTCGTGGGGTATCGTCTTGTTTATAAGTTCTGTTAATTTAGATATATCTTCTATCCCATATAAGATTATAGGCGGTGGTTTGTAAATTTTTTTTGGCGTTAGTAGACGAGTCGTCTCTTTCCTTCTCGGTTAGATCTACAGGTAATAGATTATATCTGTTTGAAGTACTAATTGTTACTTGTGATTTTTGGTTAGGCGGTATTTGACTACGCGGTGGACTGTTTGATAGTCTTTTTCTTTTGGGATAGCGGTCTGTTGGGACTCTTTGCCAGGAAGGAGGGGGGGGAGAAACTTTGTTGGTATCATCATTTATTGTTGGGTCACAGTCATAAACGGTGGATATCGAAGATAAATTCTTCGAGTCTGTATCCTTTAAACTTCCTACTGAAGACGATCTAGGTCTTGTGTTGAGCAGGCTTGGATGAAGTACCTGCTGAGTTAACTTTTTCTTTGAGGCACTCATTCTATTACTCCCAGATTGCAGACATTTTTTTTTTAATATTATTATTATATATATTTTTTTTTTTAATGTTTTTATTATTATTATTTTTTTTGTTAGTTTTCTATATATATGTATGTATAGAAATAAATTAGATATCTATATAAATTTATAAAACAAAAATTAAAAATAATTGATCTTTCAATATCCCGTATATAGGTTTGAACCTAGGCCGATAGAAATGTTCGATTCCGGAACACAGCTTATCTGCGACGCCGAGGTACTGTATGACGAGATGGACGAATTACTTGAACAGTTTCTTTCTTGAGTGACGTTTACAAAAAGTGACCTACACAGTAGACACATTTAACATCACAGATACAAAGTCATGGTTTTTTCTTCTTTTTGTAGTAATATCAACAAAAATTTACTGATCCTTATTATAAGTCACTTGCACTTGATGCAATCACTTGATTTGTACACGCACTTTTAATTGTTTTAGTCAAAACGAAAAGTCACCGAAATCGAAGTCAAGATAAAACACAAATTAAAACGTGATATTTTTCTATTTTTTTACACTGATAATGAGGCAGATACGTTTGCCTATAGTATATCTTCTCCTGGTTCACTTCAATATTTACTTTTTATTGTGTATTCTCACTTATTTCTATTTTTAATTGGTTATTTTGCGAGGACTCGATATTCAACTTCCACTACCACAAACATACATACAAAATGTTCAATGATGAATATCAAGAGTAATATAGCGTCGAATGTTCCTGGCACTTCAAAATATACACATTACACTGACAGGCCAGCTATTATTATATGGTGAAGACAACTTCATGCGACGAGACGCGACATGGCAATCGGGGTGACAATCGGGATGAAAAACTGAAGTCCAGCTACAGTGAGTGTTGACATAACTTTAAGGCCAAGACTTTTTGTGATAACAAATTATTGTATCACTTAAGCCTTAATAGGCTTCGCTACCAAACAAAGACGTATACAATTGGGACCACGTCGTTAGGAGAACAAAGTGGTTACTATGAACGTTAGTGAAGTTAAAAGGTTGTTTAGGCTAGATTGGCTTTAGAGCGGGCGTACACGGACTGCTCGAGCAGTTAACGGCTGACCGACGTACACGGGCCGCTCGAGCGGTCGGCGTTGACTGCTTGAGCAGTCGGTTGTTGATTGCTCGAGCTGTCTCTACCAACCGCTCGAGCAGTTGAATTTCTACCGCAGTCTAGTCATGGATTCTGATGAGGAAGCACTGCTTTTGCTGCTTCTGCTCAAGCGGAGACGACGGCGGCGACGTCATTAGAGAAAATTTTGAGTTCATCCAATTTTGGAATTAAGAGAACAACATGGACAATTCCATCATTTGTTTATGGAACTTAGAAGTGATGAAGAAAAAATTTTTCAACTATTTTAGGATGTCAGTGTCTTCGTTTGATGAAATGAATAATATACTAAGTTTAAAATTAAACGTGAAGACACAATCATGAGAAGTATCCAAGCAGAAGAAAGACTAGCAGTAACATTGAGGTTCGAAAAATAAATAACAATTATTTAAATTTTTATTCATTAAAAATATTGGAAAATAATTCATCAGACATTACTGAAGATGATGAAAGGTCTTCAAATTGAGAGTTTTGGTCATCAGCCGCTGATTTAGAGGGACCAGTCGCTGATGCAGATGTAGAGGGGCCAGTATTATAACCATACTAGTGGACCCAACAGACGTTGTCCTGCATGAATGATATTTCAAGCGATGTTAAACAAAGCATGAAAGTACACACTGCAGTGCCATCTGCCGGGCTGTTTTGTGAATCTAAACCATCCACGGCTCCACCCAAACGTATACAAAAAAAATCATTCAAATCGGTCCAGCCGTTTAAGAGGAGTTCGGTGACATACTCACAGAAGAATTATATATATAGGGTGTCTCATTCCAGAATTTAACTTTAGTAAAATAATAAAAAATCAACCGTTGCATATATATTGTTTTAATTAATACAAAATCCAAGCTCACTAATGCGGATATTATTTACGAAAAATAACGTCGTCGAGATGACTTCCACCACGGCGTATGCACTCCTGCCAACGTAGACGCATATTTGCTATTACGCGTTGCAGCATTCGTGTCGCAGACATCGCGCACCAAACGGTTACCTTAGGACTGTGTAATTTCTTCTGATGGTTTTGCTGTGGGTTGCTCGGCGACCAGTAGCGACAATTCTGTCGATTGACGTAGCCTTCGAGGTGAAAATGGGCTTCATCACTTAAGAAAACCTTATCCAGGTCATTTTCCGGTCCAAAATTCTCTAACATTTGTTCACAGTAAGTTTTTCGCTTTGTGAGGTCTTCAGGTTTGATTTTTTGGACTATTTGAATTTTGTATGGATGGAATTTAAGGTCTAATCGCAAAATTCGGTGAATGCTGGAGCGATGAATATTCAACGATGCCGCAAGTTTTCTGACGGACCGCCGTGGGTCATTCCGTGCAGCAGCGGCGGTGCGGTAAATGTTTTCAGCTGATCTTACGGGTTTATTCTGTCGACGATTTGCTTTGTTGATTGTTGAACCAGTTAGCCTGAACTTCTCTGTCCACAACTTGATTAGTTGAATACTTGGTGCGTCGCTTAATCGACGAATTTGGAACCGCTGACAAAACGCGCGCCTCGCTTGAGTAAACGAATTGGCGCCTTTAAAATACGCTTCTACCACGAACGCACGGTGTGCTCCTGACCACTGCGGCATGGCGACAAACCAATCCGCGTTCCCCCGCTATTGAATGACGCCCCCCTCCCTGCCCTCGCTTGTTTCGAAATTTAAATATTTTACTTTAAAATATGAAGTTTTACGTGAGACACCCTATATAAAGATTGTCCACGGTAATTATAAGGTGAATTCTGTGATGAATATCCCCTGCTCGCAGGATATATGTGATTTGTCATCCCTTTAAAGTATTTAATTACGTTAAGTATTTCTGTCTTAGCATCTAATTTATACTGCTCATTAATTTTTTAAACTCGCCAACTAATGACAGAAAAAACAATTTATCTTCATCTTCAACAATGCGCGAATTCTGTGATTTTTCATCGAAGCGTTTAGCTAATTTTTCAATTAAGACGTTCTCAACTGTGGTTGTAGTATTTAATTTTCTTTTGTTTCTTTCTTTGTTTATTTTATTTTGACGATTTTCACTTTCTTCAGACGTAATTTCAGCGTGCTCACTTTCTTCTAAACTGTTTGTTTAAAAAAGACATCTGCTGATAATATGCATATGGCCGAATGTTTAGGGCTGCTGAACCACTCTTTAGTTTTATTTTTTTAGCATATCTGGTGTACCCATCTGTACGTAAAACAACGAGATGGAAATAAATTTGTGGATACGTTTGAGGGTCTTCCTCACTCTATAGTACATTCAAGTTCGCCCAGGTGGGCCTATGTTAACAACAATCCGTGAAGAATTTGCTAATTACTTTGTGAGCGAAGAAGGCAAACTAGATTGGCAATCGAATATGATATAAATCAATAAAAATGTGTGTGACTTTATAATATGACATAAACTTAATAAATGTGTGTGTAATAAAATGACTGACTTATCGATTTTATTTTTTTCTTGATTTGTTTTTTCATCAAAGTTCTCAATAACTTGGACGCAAATAATTGCCCATGCATTGTTCTTCTTTATTTTGTCGCTGTGCTCCTTAAGCTTATAGTTTCAAATAATTTCATGTGTTTTAATTGCACTTATAAGCGCATCACTATCGCACACACCCTCCATTTTCAAAGATCAGTCGACAAATGAGACGAGACAGAGAGACACGACGCGGCGAGGCCAGAAGAGAAGGGAGGGGGAGGTCGTAGAGCTGTCGACTGCTATAGAGCCGCCGACAGCTCGAGCAGTCAGTGTATGCCTCGCGGACTGCTCGTGAGCGGTCGACAGCACGATGGAATTTCATCATGTAGTTGACGGCTTGAAGCGGTCGCGACTGCTCGAGCAGTCGTGTGTACGGCAGCGAATGACTGGCTATAGTTCACCGCGCGGTCGCGGCTTCAAGCAGTCGGTTATAACTGCTTGAAGCAGTCCGTGTACGGCTGGCCTTAGAGTCGAGCCTCGACTTAAGCTCACACCAAGCTTTTAGCATTAAATAAAACAAGAAATTTCAATAACTAGCTGCATTTAATATAAAAATTGTGAAATATTTTACGTAGAAGTGGCGAAAGGATAATACTAAGCAAAGAAAGCAGTCTTAAACAATTTTAAAAAGTAGCTTCAATCGTATGAGATTTCAAAACAAATCACTTCAGTTACTGAAACAATATTACAAATTGTATTCATTATCATCGCATCGTAATATAAAACATACAAACTCACTTCACATTTAATGTCGGTGAAATAATATCACGATTACAATTTCAATGGAGGAGCTCCGACTTTAAAAATCGTTTTCGTAATTGAAATTCCACTTTAACATATAAATGAGCCTTCGACTACTCGTTGGCCAGAGCCGCGAACTTATTGGCGATTCTCGTGGTCTCCTCCCCCGACTCACTCTCGCTCTCTTCCTCGCCGTCGCTCTGCTTCTCCGTTTCGCTGTCGGCCGAGGACTCCGCGACAATATCGCCGCTCAACGCTTGGACCCACTTTATGTATTTCATCTCCTCGCAGCTCTCTAACTTTTCTGAATAAGCACAATAATTCAAAAGTTAGTTTAATCAGTTTGTTTGTTATATATATATATATATATATATATATATATATAAGGGAGTTAAACTCAAATGTGTTGGAAAAATATTTATTTTAAGAAACAACATTTAGAGTTTGCTATTTCAGTTGTACTTTTATCCTTATATAAAAATGTACTTATGAGTACATTTGTTATGACAAACACTTCGTATTCAAATTAAAAATGAAACATACATAACCAAAAAAAACTAAATGAACTAAAATAAAAAAAAATAATGAATAATCTAATTTAAGAAACATAATTATTTCTTTACATATACATATATATATATATATATATAATATACACAACGCTACCTCTATCGTCGGTGAAGCCGGGAGGCGGCAGCCAGAGACATATTTTCCCGTCCAAGGCCATTCGGAGGAGGGCGTTGGCCGCTCGGTACGTGTCCAGTCTGAGGACGAATTGATATTCGTAAAAGAGTCATTATTACAGAATCCTCAATAGAGAAAGCGGGGAGCGAGACCTGGCAGCCTTGGCGGTGAGGTAGCCTCTCTTCTTGGCCCATCCGTCGCAGACGTCTCTAGGGGACCAGGAGTCGTCGTTCTCCGGGTGGTCGATGCGCAGCAGACGAGGCAGCTCCAGCCGCTCGGCGAGGTATCTGGAATCGAACGGGTCTATCACGATAGCCGTACTTTTATTTCAGACGCGGATGAGACTCCTCCCGTCACCTGATAGTGGTGTAAGGCTCCCGCAGCTGGGCGATGGGATACGAGCCCATCAGGATTTGTATGGACCGGGGAACCTTCGACGGGAACACTAGGCCGGGACAGTCGCACAGACGGATCTGTGAATGTGAGTTCCCGATTTATTCTTTAATAAGAAGAAATGAGTAAAACCATCGAAACGAGAGTCACCTGCGGCGTGAGGAAGATGGTCTGGAAGTGTTTGGTGTGACCCGGAGTGCGCGACACGCTGACGACCTTCTTGCCCATGATGGCGTTCATGAGGGAGGACTTGCCCACGTTGGGCTGGCCCACGCACCCCAGCGTCAACACCCCGCCCTTGAACCTCTCGTGCCTGAAGAACGACGTGTCCGCCTTCTGCACGATGCTCTCGCCTGCAGACCATTCATCGTTCACTCCGCGCCACAATTGGAAACGGTCGCTATTTACACGAAAGAGTTCAACTCACCGACTTCGGTCTCGTCTTCTTCAAACTCTAAATCGGTCTCTTCTTTTATCTTCTTCTCCCAAGAGGAGAGATCCACCGCTCCCTGGACGATATCCTTGCAAGCCTCCAAAATCTGCGTGGCGCCCTCTGCGCACATGCGTTGCCGCCCTTTGCGTCTGCGCACTAGGAGACCTGCCGACGTCCGGGAGTCGTATTTGAGATAACGTATTCTTTAGTTGTAAAATGAAGCCAACAGAATCGCTGGAACGTGGAGAAACTGCTGAGAAAGTTCCAACTACTATTTTCCTTCCCTTCGCACCTGCTTTATCAGCGCTGGCTCCGACGAGGTTGTACCCGGGACACGAAGTGAAATAGACGACTCGTAATCCGGGATAAGCGGCGGTGAGGAAACGCTTCCAGGCGGCCACCACCACCGGAGGCACCAAATCTATTTTGTTCAGGACCAGGATCATATCCTTCTTTTCTTCCTTCACTATGAATTCGTATAGAGACGGCGGAAACATCATGCCCTGAAAGATTTTTACTTCAAAATATAGAGGAAAGGGACTTCGGTCCAAACGGACACCTTCGGCCTTCGGGCAGTGGGAGGGACCATTGTAGGGGACATTATTAGTATTAATTATTGGATTTGGTTGCTTTGAAATAAAATAAAAAGCCAACCGCAAATCTGACGTCGACGATGAGCAAGAGAACGTCGCACATCTCCAAGACGCGCCAGAGCTGCCGCCAAGTCTCCAGGTTCAGCTCAAAGTAAGACATTTCCTTCCAGAGGGGAGACGACTGAATGCCGCTTACGTATTCCTGGAATATTATATTACATATAAAAAATAAAAATTTTTTTTATTAGTTTTCGGGATTATCACGAAAATGGCGATCGCGACTTACTCTGAAATACCTCTGTTCCTGTGCGTCGAGTTGGGCGGGAGTCATGTCGAAGTCCCACGGCGGTCTTTTGGGAAACGATAGCTCCGAAGGGAAGAAATCGGTCGGATCTATCTCCATCTGTTTGAGGCTCACGGGAATGATCTCTTTCCTGGGAGGAGACGTGTGGGTGGTCTCTTAGCGTTCGATTAGTGTTATATTAATTGTCAGTTAATTAGATTAAATTTAAGTGTACGACGTAGTCTGTGTATTAATTGAATTTTGGAAATTTTTGATTACTTTTGATGAATTATTTAAAACCGACGCACACGGCCACGTACGCGGCAAGTGGTCGGCCATAAAGACAACATTTTTTACTTTTTTAAATGGAATAAAGTTACAAATGCAAAAGCCTAGGAAGGAGTGCGACTTCCTCGTGGCAAAACCACAGCTTGAATGTGGTTTATAATAACATTTTGAGAAATGCGTCCCCATTCTTCTGCGATTACTCTTTTCAATCAATCACTCAATCAGGGACAGCCTTCGGACAGTTAACAATTTGAAAATTTTAAGATTGTAATCTACCGAATAACACCGACGTTAAATTGTAAGCAGTACGTTGAGGTTCACAATCTTTCGACAGTTTACAATCTCGCGAGATAGATTACAATCTAACGGTGTTTACAATTTTACGGTGACATATACAAAACCAATTATTCATCAATGATGCACTTGGAACTATGTATAACAAAGAAAATATATAATACTTTTAAAATCTATTTGCTAAGAATTATTTTTTTTTTTAATGAAATCTTACAATGCTTCCTCCTTTTTAATTTTCACTTCAGCATCACTTTCCCTGTAGAATTTGAGGGCGTAGCGGTTAGATTCACCGCGGCCCTGAGCTCGGTTCGGTTGATAGTTGACTGCCAATACATCATAATTTTCTGTGTTTGCTGACGCTGGAAAAAAACATATACCTATATTAATTAAATTACGAGAATAAAATTAGAAGGAATCTCCTTCAGCGTGGCTGCTTCACTTTAAATCCATTACTATTATTATTACTAAGCTTTTATAGCTGACACCCAGTATAATATATTAACACTTATTTGAGTTACATAATAAAACTTAATCTAATACATCATATGTCCTGTTTTTGGTAATCAGCGTGTCCTGTGACACATAGGCCTCTTCCAGCTGCTTCCATTTTTTTCTGATGTTAGCTCTTCTTGTCCAAGTTGTGCTTCCTATTCTCTTTATATCGTCTGCCATCTTTAAATCCATAGTAAAATTTTAATTATAAAACTTATAAGGATCAAAAACAATGATTTTACAAACAAATAAAATGAGCTTATGATACCAATGTTGAATACACTAGGAAAAAGAAATTAAACTCTATTAAATAATTTATGCTTTTTTACTAATAATGGCAAAAAATTCTTAATATAGATTCTATTCTAAATCTAAACATATTTACAATGAGACCTTTTGCAGCATAGTCTGTGACAGGAAGTAAAGTCCATGAGGCTTACTGACTTAGCTTTACAGCCAAAAATAGGCATCTCATCTCAAATTTTAATTTCTAACAAACTATATTATGATTTCAAGCTAACATCACTTACATGACAGTAGCAATGTTTTATTCTGCTTTTTGTTCTGGATCTGCTGTTTTTTTGCTTTCCCACTGAAGGGAGTTTTGCGACGAGCTTGTGGCATGACTTTGAACTAAAATTATACAAATCTAATTATTTTAACATATAAAAGGCTATTTAAGTTTTAACTCAGTTCTTTAGAAAACTCTAAAACTTATAACCATAGGTCTACTATAATTTGAGTTGAAAGGGCTCAAACTGTCACTAAACATAAATGAATAAGGATGCCCACACAAAAAATCTTCCAACATTACAAGTTCCAAATTATGAGGTTACATTTTAATTACCAGCGACAATTTTTTTTCAGTTCAATTTCAACAAGTGGAGTTGCAAAGGGTTAAAGTTGATATGTACATATTTAAAAATTAAATAACCTATTTTTCGGTGGAACTAGTATTGAAATATATAGAATGAGACATGGTAAGTCTATCCATGATTTAATTTTTAAACGAAAACAACATTAACTTAAAAGCTATGAAAACAAACAACGAGTAATGCACCGTACATCGTGTTTATAAAAACAGATAGGCTAAAGGCTTACCTCAGCACTCAATCTCTCATTAATACAACTTACTACCCAGTATCCGTCAATTTTTAATTAATTGTAGCACAAATAAAAGTATATATAATTTATTACTTTACGATATGCCATTAATTATATTTTGTGCCGGCTGACTCAATTAAATTTTATGATGACAACGACATAAGAAATAAGATCAGTGTGACCAGATTTCATTTGACGAATCTACTGCTCGTGGAGGTTAAAAACTACTGAATTCTACCGAAAGGAACGAGAAAATACAAAAAATCTATTATATTTTTTTGCTGTTGGTTTACAACGTAAAACATGAATTTTCTTGATTAAACGATAAAATAATAAAAGTAGTAAAGATTAATTAAAGAAGCGAAGTTTTTTTAATTTAATTCTTACTACAATTTTTTTTTAAATTAATAATAATAAAATGAAACTTAAAGCTAAGATTTTTCGTCGTTATGTTGGATATTGTCATAAAGCTGTTTTGAGTCCATTAGCTTGATCATACTTTTGTCAGGATCAAATCTGCTACATCCTCCTTCCAACTGTCGTAGCCCCTCTTTTCCATGCATAATTGCAGCAACATTCTTGTTATTAAAACGATTTCTATCTTGACTTTTAATTCTATTAATATCGGAAAATATTCTTTCAACTTTGGCGTTAGACAGAGGTAGTATTGTCATTTGCTTCACAAACCGGGCCAAATTGCCATATTTTGGTTTGCTATTCGCATCGCAAATTTGGCTGACCTCACTCCAAAATTTATCCACCATAAAATTTTCAGAAGTTGAACTCGAAGTTGACAATAAATTAGACACGGAAACATCTAATTTTAATTCCCTATATTCGTTGTCAACAATTTGCATATTTTCTGTTGTAACTAAGTTAGGAAACCTTTGTAGTATTTTTATTAGAGTTCGAAATTCACCATACACTGCCTTTTGGGGATCGATAAACGACAAATCCTGCAAGAAATTATCTTGTACAGGCAGTCTTTGGAGAAATTGTTTACTTAGCTCGATCAAAAATGCTTGACATCTGTTAAGAAACTCTTCAATTTTAGATTTCATTCGAACATCATCTTTTAATAATTCCAATGTTATGGCTACGTTTGTGCCCAGGTACATGTTTTGTATAGGAAGGAAATGCATACTTGAACTGGGATCTATTGACTGAAGCGAAGTAGTTTTAATATAATTTATCTTCATAAAACAACTCAAAATGGAACTCATCATGTTTTGTATATCTGTGTCAATTTTATGAATGAGCGTCTGATCACTTTGAAAAATAACGTTAAATTTTGTAGTTATGGGTAATATAAAATCTAAAAAGGAAAGATAAAGTTTTGTTTCATCGCTGTTAAGGTGATCAAATATAAATTGACAAGTAGCATTTGCATTCTTATTTCCTAAAAACTCATTTTGAAAAAAAAGTTTTAATGCTGACCACTGCTCTATAATTCGGTGAATGCATTGATGTAGAGAAAGCCACCTGATATCATAGTGACGAAGCATATGGTGAGTTGGAGTGTCAGTAAAATTTTGAAATTCGACAAACTCTCTTTGACGTTGGCTACTGTGAGAGAAGTATGAATAAACATCTTTGACAAACAACTCTATAGAACGAGGTAATTTTTTGCATGCATAACTTACTGAAAGATTTGTTGAGTGGCAAATACATTTAAAAAAAATACAGTTTGGGTTGACTTCCCTAATTTTAGATACCACGCTATTCCTTTCGCCAAACATAACATTCGTTGTATCAGCAGCGAACCCTATTAAATTTTCTATGTTAAGGTTTCTTTCAGATAAGGCACATGTTAAACTATCAAACAAATACTGCGCAGTTTCACCTTTTAAGTCCACCATACACAAAAATTTTGTTTGTGGAGATTGCAATTTTTCTGAGTAGTACTTTATTGCTGCTGCAAGTACCTTGGTAGTACTGACATCTGTGCTTTCGTCGATAATGAGCGAAAATACTGGGCTTCTCTCAGTTTCATTTTCCAGCCTTGGACGTAATTCTGCAAGCATTTTTTCTTCGAAGTTATTGCCTAAGACGTTGTAAGCAATTGCGGCAGATTTAGTTCTTCTACAGGAAAAACGTTTTGCGATTTCAGAGTCGTGAAATGCCCTTGAAATAACTTCGCTTACGTGATCCATTACGCGAAAAGGAATATTATGTTCCACTAATGCAGCTACAATGCTGATTTCTGCTTTTTTAACTTCTTCCGAAATAGTTGATGTTTTAAAAATCGTATCAATCTGTAAACAAAAAAGTTAAAAATAAGTATGCAGGACAAAAAAAAAAGTCAAAAACTAAGCAATCTTAATATATATAAATCTCGTATCACAATGTTTGTCCTCAATGGACTCCTAAACTACCGAACCGATATCAATCAAATTTGCACACCGTGTGTAGTTTGATCCAAATTAAAAGGTAGTTTAAATCTCAAATTATAGTCGCAATATTATTTTATTGCAAAATATTTGTTTATTATTTGATACAATTCTAACAGATGGCGCTGTGTTATAAGTATCAACGTTTCACATAAGCTTTCATCTACCTTTAAGATAAGTTCTCCTACCCCTAACAGATGGCGCTGTGTTAAAAGTATCAACGTTTCACATAAGCTACCTTTCACATACGTTCTCCTACCGTTTCCCTTGAATAGTTTACTACTATGTAATATAACAAAACCTTAGCCACAGCAACGCTTGGCCGAGTCTGCTAGTTTTAATATATCATTTAAATAAATAAACATGCATAAACACACATAGTTGTATAATAATAATTGTTATGTAAATGTGTAGATAATAAACATACTTAAAACAGCGAAAGTTTGTTTTTGAATGGAAATCATAAGGTTTAGAACATAATACGGGTTCACGATGAAAGTATTAAATTTTTTTAACAAAAATAATTAACTAAGACTTACATTCCACATATCAATGTAAGTACCTTACGTACCTTAGAAATGCCGGAATATCCTTTCATGTTTTTTATATGCTTTGATGTAGCCATATGTTCCTTTAAAGATGCCACTCTACTTAGTACTTCACAGTTGCATGCTTTACAATGAGCACTCGTAGTGTTTACTCTAGATTTAGACAACCAACTTTTAAATGAGGGATCTTGCTCCCATTCATCGCGATATATTTGTGTATATTTACGTTTCATTATATACTCGATTATATAAATTCTCAGTAAAGGTATTCCCACTAATCACAATATGCTCACGAGTCACGGAACGAATGGTTTATAGTAACGAAAATAACGAAAATTCAATAGAACTTACCACCCAATCGATGAAAGGGGAATACCCCGCATTTATTCGATGTGCCAAAAAAGTACCTACTAGAATAACTGATAAACGTGAATTCTACTAAAATATACCAAATAATTTTTACATACTAAATTCTGTTGCCAGTACCTCAAAATCTACCAAAAAAGTAGAAATCTACTAAATCTGGTCACACTGAATAAGATACATTTTTCCGTAGCATTTTTCACATTAATGCTTTTTTTCCTTTTATGGCTCTGGCACGGTTTGTGCATTAGCCAGCGTCAAGTATAAGAATTTTATAATTCGTGCTTGCCTTAGAAATTCAACCATGTCCTCCATGTACGGTTTAAGTACCGCACAACCCTCCCAAAGGCCGAGAACAAATTTAAATTAAATTAAAACTTGCCCTCGAACCGGAAATCGAACCCGGTACTCCTCACCTAGCTGCCACTTTATAAGACCGCTAGGCTATGAGGCCTAGGGATGTGAAAAAATAATCGATTATTAAAAAAATCGATTTTAATCGATTATTAAAAAAATCGATTTTAATCGATTTTTTAAAAAGTAAAAATCGATTTTTTTACGCGATTTTTATATTTAAAATAATCGATTAATAATCGATTATTTTTATAACTGAAAATCAATCATAGTCGATTTTTTATCTGCCATCTCCCGACATTATGTCTGGTCTTTTATAACCCGGACCTCGAACTATTAGGGATAATCGATGTACAACGATGTTTACAGTGCGATACAGTGAATCCGATTCCTTGAAGATGTATTGATATACTCGATGCATTGATGTTTTTTTGTAAAACATCGAAAGGACGATAAAAACAGTTAATTTTACAAAAACTCAAAGTTTGAATGGAACACTATAATTTAAAAGTAAAATAAATTTATTCAGCAGCACAAGATTACATACAATTAAAAAGACATCAAAAATACTACAATGTGCTCTTGAAAAGGCATACACTCAGCATTTATCAAATTTCACGTAAAATCTATCAAAACGACATTAAGTTAATTTCGATTTTGATTATTCTTAAACGTTAATTTGTGTTTATAATTTCTATTGTTCATATGAAAAATAAAATATTTAGGGTGATTATTTTGAAATTAATTCAAAAATTAGGAAGAAATCGATTAATAAAAAAAACGATTATTTGTTAATCGATTTTTCATGCTAAAAAAATAATCGATTAATAAAAAATCTATTTTTTTATGCAGAATGTCACATCCCTTATTGAGGCCCTTGCATTAATGCTTATTTTAAATGCTTATTATAAACTGAGAAGCTCTTGTCAACATATATTGTACCGTCACTGTTTGACAGGCGTGTCACGTGACAAAGCGTAAACTAATGTCATTCGCGTGAGGCACGCCTGTCGAAAAGTATTATCTTGTATATTATGTTGTATCTTGTATAATAACAAGAGTAAATAAAACAAATAAAGTATTATTAATATATTTTATTGTGTTTTTTCTTCAAATATACAATAGCACAGAAAGCATCTTTTTTTTAAAACAAAGCGTGATAAATTGAATATAATATATCTAATGATAAATTGAATATAATATATCTAATAAACTGATTAATTTATGAGTAAACTTACGAAAACTTCCACATCTTAATACACAAAACTTTTTTCCAAAGGCATTTATGGTAAAAATGCAAAGCTATAACGTAAAAAAAATAATCCAAAGTCCAGAAATCAAACCAAATTGTGAAACACTATAGAACAATTCAATAGAATACAACAGTCAAACGGTAAGAAAACACGGATATTTAAGGTTAGTGTCAACAAATTTTCACCCAATATAGTTTTCTACTTTCTACATACACTACTGTTAAGGCATCTTGACTACACCCCCAGGGAAAGCGAATGACCCCATCGACCATGATAGTAAAAACCATAGAGTACATTGTTAACACTTAGAAATTATTTTTTAACTTTTTACCACTATGCCATCTACTGCAAACAGTGCTAAATAACGCTAATAAAATGAATACAACGCATGTATGAAGTGTTAATAAGTCAGTTAAAATTTACCTTTTTTTTTTTAAATATTATGGCAATAGTTTTGACTTTATGCCAGTTTCAAGTAAAATAAACATTATCTTTCTTCAAACTGTAGACGGACTATGGTTCTATACTCTATCTACGCTTCAAACTTTTTTCTTTTGACATGGGATAAGTCTGATGTCAGCTGTCAAAGATAATTGTTGTGAAATTTGTGTTTTTCCGTTCTTATTAGTTGAAATATGAATTGAAAATATAGAAACTAACCTCAAAAGTGATTGATAAGTGAAAAAAATATTAGTCTGATATAGAAAAACATTTATTGTGTTAGCCTTTTAAATTCATCAATAGAAATTAATCTTTTTCTATAATCTTGAGGATAACAAAAAAATGTTACCCTTATCACTATTACGTACAGCTCAAAACCATCCAATGCTAGTGGAATTAAAGAATGGTGAAACATACAACGGTCATTTAGTGAGTTGTGATAATTGGATGAATATCAATTTAAGAGAGGTCATTTGCACATCTCGAGATGGAGATAAGTTCTGGAGAATGCCTGAGTGCTATATCCGGGGGAGTACAATAAAGGTATGCTTTATCCAGTGTTTAATTAATAGAATATTATTTTTTCATTAATAAGTGTCTGAACTAATAAAATTAGAAGTTAAGGGGGGTTACATTTTATTTAGGATACATGAGATATGTATATAAAAAAAATATTTATACATTTAACTACCAAAGATTGTCCTAGTAGTCTATAACTACTTAAAAACCATTCTAAAAACTTGTGCACTTTCTTTTTAGTACCTTAGGATCCCAGATGAAGTTATTGATATGGTGAAGGAAGAAACCCAAGTAAAGGCTCGGAGTCGCAATGAAGTATCTAAGGGTCGAGGGGGTCAAAATCTTAGGTCAGGGAGAGGTGGAAGTCGAGGAGCCTTTGGAAACAGAGGGAGACCAGCTCCTCTTAGGGGTGGAGGAGCAGGACGGCCTCAAAACAAAAATAAGAAATAGTTTATTAATATATCACTTAATTTTCTAAGAAATCTCTAGTATTACTCTACTGTCAATCCTTTAAATTAACTGACAAAATGCTGAAAACAATAAAAAATAGTCTGATAAAAATTAACTTGTGATAAATAAAAACACTTCCTAATAAAAAAAAATTATTGGAAGGAACTTTGAATTTTTATTATCTATATCTAAAAACCCATTTTTTGGTGAGGTAAGTGTACTTTTCACTCCTATACAAGTGTACTGGTATTACAAGAACTTTTATTTTATACATAGGATGATACTAGGTTCACACTGATTGTAGGTGATTGCCCTAAATGAAGGCCAATAGAGTGGCACACAACATGGACAATAGGCAACAGCACTAGCAGACTAAGAGCTCTGAGTGAAGTCAATAAAATGTTCAATGTTGTTCCAAACCAATTCCAGGGTTATCCTCTAATCTTTTTGCTGGTCCTGATACTAAAGATAAAAAAATTGTCCTAGTCTTATTATGGCTTATATTTTGGAGTTTTTTATAATTTTGCACTAAACTAAAAACATGGGAGCACCTATTTACTTACTTTATCAGTTACTCTTTGTACAAGACCAGGAATAAATAAAACAAACACATGAAAGATTTAATATTGGACTAATATTTAGTAAAATACCATATTATAATAAAATTCATATAAAAATTCAAGTATTTCAGTTTAAACAATATCTACTAAGACTTGTCCGAGTGTAATCAAGTTTTTAAACAGCCAAATCTTGTATAAGTGGCAACATTTATCAAATTGTTAGTCCACACAAAAATTCCATCTATATTTATTTATTAATATTATACTGATAAGTGAGAAGGTGCATGCCAGGTGCCTATGGCATTATTCATATTTTATTTAAATTAATAATAATAATAACAATTCTCTGAAAAATGTTGCCTCTTAAAAATACCCGCAATAGTGTTAACTCTGACAAGTCAATTAATTCTAAGATAATACTATTCAAACAACAAAAAATAATCACTCTTAAATAAAAAACTCAAGTCTAAATACTACATAATCATTTACATACGTAAATATATAAAAACAGTATTGCATTATTTGATAGAAATTTAAATTATCTGTAAAGCTCTGAAATCTTCAAACTACAATGAAGGTATTCTATTATATTGACAATAACGATCATTATCGTGACACAGACGTGTACAACGGGAAACTCGGGAACTAATGCCTTTGTTGTAGACGTTCGTACCAACTGATTAAATAGAACGCTATATTTTTTTACATATCATTAAATACATTACGGCCAATGTGCAATATGCAAAACTTATACTATTTATTATATTTATAAAAATACTAAAAAACAAACGATACTAAACTAAATAAATTGATAATACAAAAAAGTAATACAAAAAAACTGTAAAAATAAATAGGAATTCAAAAATATATCAAAACAAGCGGGTATCACTACGTCTAAAAGCATCCAGTTTCTCCAGGAAAAAGTAAAAAAGGAATATTTGGGAATGGCAACATGCCCCGCTTGTCTCTTGTCTTTGGGACGCTGTCTTTGGTCTTTAGTGGAGAAATGTTGCAAAAATGTACTTACAAAAATAAAATGACAACACAGAGGCTGACCGGTATCTCGAAGAACTAGGCTTTGTATTTATGGATTATATAGTAATAAACGCTTTCTCAAGAAAGTAATGTAATATTAAAAATTAAACAAAGCCTAGTCCGCTAAAAATCAAATCTACAGTATAAAACGCAATTAAAGTTTCAAATTCATTTTAATATCTCCACAATTGTCTAAACGTATCGCATTAAACAAACAAGGAGCAATCAATGTCAAAGCACTATTTGTTAAGAAAATAAAAATGATCGTTTCGCCTTAATTCCATTTTATTGGAAACGTGACCAGACAAAACGATCGAAACTGATACATTTGAATAAAAAGAAAAGTTTTAAATTTATATAAACATTCAAATTATTTAGCTAGAGTTCATATTTGGCGCCTAAGCAGCTCGCCAGCGGCAAAGTCACGCAATAGGCACCAAACACGAAATTAACAAAATTGATTGTAGTTTACAACAAGTCAATGAAATAACCCTCTATAAAAATATATAATTCTAATTTGAAATAATAGTAAGGCCGACTCCTGGCACTGCTAAGGAAGCAACTCAATAAATAAATTTTACATAATATGAATTCGAAATCAATGATATTGTCTATGGTACGTATATAATAATATGTATTGTATGACGCTGCGGAGTCGGCTCATTTAAAATTCACTAAAAAAATATTTTCCTATGCACCTCCCCGGCCTGTCAGAATTCCCAAACTATCTGAATTAGAAAAATACTTAAACGACAGTGCAAGAAATATTTATACAAACATAATTATATTGTCTAGCAACATTAAGGTATAAGGTACTATGTATTATACTTCAACTAGGTTAGTTAATGAATTGCTCTACTTTCACTATTATTTATAATAATGTAATAATTTCACTAAAATTTCTATTCACTTCAAAATTTACAAGCCTTTTCGCTTTAGGCGAATAATGCTAAGAAAAATTTCCTAATTTCGGTCCGCCTCCGATAAGTCGATATAAAACTTTTTTTGCGGATTTTATTTTTTTAAACTAAGAAACGACGTACGATAGGTACTATGTACATGCGAATGAATGTGTAAAAAAATTCACAGGACTATACGAGGGGACTAAATCGTATAACAACAATAATTTTAATAATCCGAATATTAGCTACTTAGTTATCAAAAAAGTACAAATTCCACATCAAAACATGTATAAGAAAAGATATCGCTATGCCCCCCCGCACTGTGTTTCTCGCGTGATATGCTAATGCGACAAAATTACTATCTAAAAATGGAAAAAAATAGCGTCGAAGCCGCTACTATTAATAGAAAACAGACAACTTACAACGAGAACAAAAGCCTGAAGCGGCCGTAAACAAGGAACCAAGCAAAACGTCCTACAAACTATTAACTAAAACTGCCCCGAGGATAAACCGGTCAAAACAACTTAAATATTAAACCTTACAAACTCAGTAGAAATTAAACGACAATCTAAACCAAGACCGCGGGGCGAAATAGACTAAAACAAACAAGCGAATAGAATAAAAATCTAATAAAGCGAAGAAAATCTTCCTCCCAACTAGTAAGTGCAGTCGAATCGTTCACGTCTAACGTCAAAAGCTCGAAAACTCCCGCCGTTTTCGATGTCACCCGTCAAAGTAACCACTCGCCACAGACCCATATCCCATCCAATCACCTCAGTTTTTCAAATTATCTAATGCCAATCGTTTCGGGCAAAGATCTCCGTCTCTCGAAGATCAATTTTAAACGTAGAAATATCTAGACACGGCAGCGTCGGCTACAACGTTGCGTGCAAACTAAAAAAATCACGTCCGAATTTCACATTAATCGTTTTTTTTATAAAAATATAAAAATACAAAATGGGACAGTGCGACCACACCACTCCACACTCACGCAACCTGCCGTACCACGCTACGGGGTTAGGGGCACTCCAAACGATCAAACAAATATTGAGCAATTTTACACAAACAAAACGGAAAATGCACACACATCGAGATAAACGCTGTAGCGAGCCAGACACATATTTACACAAAATCTTTTCAACTGCCAGATTTGCCAACCAAGAGGAAGAGACCGCAACAGTATGAAGATGCAACTTGTGATAGAAACCGGGCGTCAGTGCTATAACAATATCTAGACTAGGATTTAAGAGAGGAAATTGTGATGAATTTTACGAAATTTTACTAGAGGAGATAAATGTGTAGACCTTTCGCACGTGTGTGCATTTTTAAAGGGAAACAGCAGCAGTAGTAGCAATACTTCAATATTATCAAATCTTCTTAGCGAATAGAGTCGGGACAAGAATCAAAGCTACGTTAGCTGAAATTTTACTAAATCTACTAATAACATTATCTAAATTTTGATGTCTATCAATTTCACCTTAATATCAAACCCTTATTAAAATAGATTTGAAAACTCGCTACCTTGAAGGTTTATCGAGTGTCAAGATGAAAGCAATAGACAATGCCGAAGTGGGAAAAACCAATCGTAGCTAATCAAGTTTCGAGATCGGAATTGCCAAAGGATTCACACACGGGAGGTACATCTACTCGTTCGCCGCACAAGGCACTTCGCCTCACTACAGAGAAGACACGACACGAAAAAACTTTTACAAAAACATTAAAAACAATTATCGAAAAACACGCCATAGTCTTATCTACAGTCTATAAACTTCTGTGGTCGGTCGGGATACGAAATCTGTATCCGAATTAAGTACATCTCTAAAAGCGTCCATCTCTCACTCGGATGGCTCCGTCCATTTTAGCGTCCTTTACGAAAAGACGACATCAAACAAACCGTTTCGACCAATGCAAGTAATGCCTTATGCGATAACCATATACGATATCAAAATTAGCAAAATTCCAAATGACCACAACGATGCCAAGACTCGAGACTGTCCATTAAAAACCCTACGACATTCGAATAATTTTGACAAGTTAACTAGTTCGACGATTGAAACGACTCGAAGTTAGCAAAGCACCGCCCCTTCTGAACTTCGACTCCAGCTCTAGAGCGGAGATCGAACGGGGACGATAATAACATTATATCTACACTACCGTCTATTGCACTATCCCGGCGGATTCAAAAATATGTTCTTCACTATACACACTACGAGACTAAAGAATAACCGTGAGCACTACGGCCAAAAATGGTAACATTATTCATTTTTGTACTAACACCGGCCCATACCGCCTCCCGCCGACTTAACGGCGGCGCCTTTAGGAACAGAATCTGAACACACCCCGAAACAATAATCCTTCCTCCAAATAAAACCTAAACGCCCGAGGGCGTTTCGACTCCGAAAACGACACCTCTGGGCTAAAACGCACTCGCATAGGGCTGGACGACACAGTGCCGTCCCGGCGAAGGTCACAGCAACAATATCCAAATAGAAAAATACTAGGGAAATCGGGTAATTTACTCTAGCTAACAGGTACAATTATTCCGAGAAATGACATTCCACTTACACCTTACTTTATTCGGCCAACGCTTCGCTCCGCAGAGTCCAGCCTCGGACCTTTTTATCTTATAATAAGAGTCGGCTAAAGACCTTAGAGAACGAACTGACAACTAGCTAAGTTTTGGATATATTTTGCTTACGTCGGGGTCGGCTTCGAGTCTCCCACCCCGCACAATACATTTTGCTTAAAATTACTAACTTTGGATAATGTTGCTTTATTAATCTAACTCGACAAACGCGTCGCGTGCCGACGATGCCGAAAGCCGTGTTCCGTAGTCTAAGAGTGGAACCGCCGCATCGAGCCGATCCACACGCTGAACGCTCGTCCCAGTCCCGCCTCCCCCTTCCTCGCCCCTGTCCCTCCGCCCGTCGCCCCTCTGCCCCCTCGCCGGCGATCCTAGCACCAGCGGAAGGGGACGGCGCGCGGTCTGTCGGCGCCCTCCTTCACCAGGGGCTTGTGGAACTCGCGTCCCGGCCGAGAGTGGATCGTCGCCCAGCAGTGCTCGCAGTAGTACTGAAACATACGTCTCCGTAGAGCGGCTTCCGATCGAAGGAGAGGAAATGTGTGCGAGGGGCGCGGTCGTGTACCTGCAGACAAGTGACGTTGGCGCAGAAGAAAGGCGCGAACTTTGATCCGCAGCGAGCTCCCGCGCACTCGTCGCACATCTGGTCGTCCAACACGTACGGCTTCACCTGGAGAGGAACTCGTCTTTATTCTCATGATACAGCTTCGGAAAGAAACGGTCAGCGCTAACCAAGCTTATATATAGTGATATAAAAACAATTGTTCTACCTCGACCCGCTTATCGATGTCCCCGTGCTGCAGTTGGACGAAACGCGCAGAAATGGCCGCGATGTACGATTGCTGGTTTGAAAACGCCACGCGACCGGCGCCCTGAACATTTTATTCAAATATGAATTAACGGCATTATTAAAGGTCTACCACATCACATCCATGCGAAACTAACCTTGGGATATTTCAGTTCGGGATCGGTGTCGATACCGGCGTAACACACTCCGCCGTACAAACGGTCCATTATCATCGCCAGCTCCACTGCAACAACAATATTCAACATGACTGTACGGCTGCGGAGTCACCCACTCGCGTAGGAGCAACAGATTATATTGAAATGGTCCGCTACATATATAGTAAAATGCTCATAACTCTAACGCCCTACTCACCAGCCTTCAGAGGGCGCGGCACTCCGCCCACGAAAACAGTCTTGCGAGGGTCGAGGGGCATACTGGCGTCGAGCACGAAGTCGGCGTCTGCGAGCCTCCAAGGCCGGATCTGCACGGGCTTGTCGCGGATCGTGGGCGAAGACACGCACAGGTACAGCTTGTCGTCGTCAGTTATACAGGCCTCCATCAGGGCCGCCACGGAGCTCTCGTCCTGCCGAACCGCATACGTTTTAATACATTTTTATTGGTACAAAATTAAGGGAAATTAACAATCTTGGAAACACTCACTTGGAAAAGCAGAAAAGCGTATCCTTTAGGCGGGAAGTAACTCTTGCTCTCGGCCTTGTGAGGCCAGTCTACCACTAGGGGACCGAACCGACGGAAAGACGAAGTTATTTCATCTGAAAATTCATCGGATACAAACATTTTATACGCGTAGATGGTAAAAAGCAAAATATGCAATAAATATCTAATATATAAAATTCTCGTGTCACAATGTTTGTTTCTTAACTCCTCCGAAACGGCTCGACCGATTCTTATTTTTAGACAATTTTTTTGTTTTTATTTTTTTACAATACAATTTTTGAAAATACATACAACCCCTTAATTTTCACCCCTCTATGATCAACCCCATTTTTTTATTAAAATAAAAAAATAAATATGTTTATTATGGAACATATTAAGATACACAGGTATCACTTATTCCACGTCATTAAATTTGAATTTGTAGGCATTATAGAAGATAGTTATTTGTATTGAACTAAAAAATGTTTCCTAGAAATAATATAAAGTTTAAAACAACGTTTGCCGGATCAGCTAGTAATAGATAAATTAAATAATTTGTTATACTACAATCTTATATTCACTGAATTCGCAGTAAATTTAAATGAAATCGAATGTTTATTGCTTATACATAGATACACTTTTAGGCACAACTTTAGTTACAAATTTTAAATGCAATATGATAAAGTTAGCTAAATGTGTCTATTTCTGTAAAATAGACCTTACTTTCGACATATACACGTTGACTATTATATAAGACCTAGGTTCTAGGGGTTTCTAGGTCACCACAGCCTAATCTGCTAGATCTAAAGAGATTACTACAATAGAGTGACCTACATAGTCAACGTGTGAGCCTCGGTACTTTATAAAAATAGCCTGTTTATGTAAGCGAATGCAGTTTTCAGTTGTTATATAAGTTGCCTGATTTATAGGCGTTTACGGATATCGAAGTCAGTACTTTGGAAGATAATTAACTCACGTCACAACAGAAATGCATATTTTGTTAAATATCAACATAAAATATCCTTTCTATAACAATTATAATTTATGTTCACGTATTGTGCGGTATAAGGTGGTTAGTGGTTACGTGGTTAAGTGGTGACTTGGAAAGTATGAATCAAATTAATCTCTATTCCTACCTTCGTCGATATCGGGCGGCAGACCCCCAACAAACACCTTCCGGCTAAATCGCTCGCCGTGCTCCGAGCCCGCAGAAACCGGCGACGAGCGAGCGGGCGAACCCAAGGCGCTAACGCACATCGACAGTCCTGGAACAGTGAATCGTCGCTCTTAGAACTCGGTCGATCGGGTCCTTGTATCTGTACTCATAACATGCTCTATGCTCACCGGCTGCGCTGAGCCTCGACACGACGTCCTGCGCCTGTTCGTTGGGTCCGGGCGGAGACCCCGCGCCCGCCGCACTCGCCACGCTGCCCTCCTCCACGCCGGGGAAGAACGGCGATTTGCCTGAAACGAGATTATGCTCATCGTTTGCACACCGACAAAACTTTATACTCAGTATAACATTGTACGTCAGAATGTAAAACAATTTAGTGATATTTCCACGCTATTCATAACTGAAGCCCTATACTATTATGTTATCTTCTGTGACCCTGTGTCTGTTAAAATTACTTTCAACTGCAGCCGTTGTTCAAATTTTCTGTAATTTTACTATTTATCTATTTGATAAAGGCTCATTACTAACTTATATACGTATAATTCATATTATAATGGACATGAACAGTAGAAAAACTTTATGTAGCAGCGCCGATTATCTAACTTCCTAGTTCAATTAAATAGACCAAAAGCTGTCCTACTGGCACCGGTCCAACGCGTAATGTCGTTGACTCCACAGTAATTGATGTGGGCCATGATTCATGGATGTTTTGGTCTGGCTACAAGCGGAATCCTGACATTTAGGGTTCAGTCTCATGTTCCGCAATGGGTCACAGTGTAGATGTAGGTACATATGCCGATTTCTTATAAGCCGGTTGTCAAAGGTCACGAAAGAAATTCACTACGAACACGACAATTCGCAGGAGCTTAGACACTCTTATAGCAATATCGAAATTCATTCAAAATAGACCATTAGCTGACAATTGGCTGATAACTCACTGGCTTACAGTACTATTGGCTCTATTAATTTATTTTACTTAAACCTCAAATCTTATTTTCTTTTACATACATGCTTATTAAATTTTTTAAACACAAAATAATAGCTGTTTCGCCATTGAATTGAAACCCATGCGATGAGTTCCAGCCAGCTCTCCGTACGTAATTTTTTTTAATTTACAAACTGTGTAATGCTTTTACAGATATTTTTTTAGTTCTAGAGGTTACCGACCTTTTTTGGGTCAGTGTTTGGGTAAGTCGGTGACATGTCACTGACCTATTCTAGTTGGTCACGGAAAAATAGTTCTATGAGGATCAAAAATCATTGGGAATAAAATATATGGTTTAGTATGGAAAAAGAAAGATGTTCTATATATACAATTATGCAACAATTTTTTTGCTAGACAACGAAATGTTTTCCTAAACAAAAACTTTTGTTTAAATTTATATATTGTATTAAAATAGTGTGTAATATCTAAACTTGAATTTAAATAAGAAACAATATATGAAAAATATGTATTGTCTGGTAATTTCATTTGAAAGATACTCACTTTTTCGTACGGGAATCTCGGACCACGAATGAACGGTGTAATTAAAGGTATCGTGTGCACGGACATAATTTTTAAATTGAAAAACGTAAAAAAACACTGCAAAACTGCCGCAAACACAAGCGCTCGTCGCGGGAGGAACACGTTATGAAAAAAAATGACAATCGTTTTCGATTTACGAAATTTAATTTTTTTTTTATTGTCGGACTTTTGCAAAAAAGGTTTTATGAAAGCATGAAGACACTCGCTCTAGTGTTCTATGAATAAAGTACAAAATTAGTTATTTGTAACTGTAAATGACGATGTTACCGTCATGGAGTGTTGTAAAAACTGAAAGTAGGGAATTATTTCTATGAGTTTTACGAAAATAACTCACTTATGTGATAAATTTAGCTCATATTTTTTGACGTAAAGGAAACTGAGAATTGTCACTTGTGACAGGAATATCCAACTAATTAGGTTTTAAGTACTGAGACGCTTTGTTTAAAATTTTAATCCGTCACAAAAATACTTATTTAAAATACTTAAATACAAGTATAGCAAGGATTAGCCTGGATGCAGAGACTACGTTATATTTGAAATTTCAAAACAGGTATTTTCAGCGCTATCTATGGGTAACTAAAACTACAAAATAGGTCGAACTGTTCCAGAATTAAAAACGGAAAATGCACGTTGACATAATATCACTGTGCTAGCCAAGTTGTGTATCCTTATTAAAAGGAACCTTAACACCTGAGAATAAAGTCTATTTTGACTGAACGGTTCCACAACGTCATTGCGGAGTTTCACAATCGGATCTAAAGCAAACGTGAGTTGGATTTTAAACTATGGTAGATATAAAGACAATCACATCTTATACTATCAACTTTTATTTCATATATACTTAAGGTAAATCGGAATAGATTACCAAATACTGTATTTTTAACCGACTTAAATAAAACCAAAGGAGGAGGTTATGAATTCGAAATGTATTTTTTTGTGTGAGTACGTTCAATCATAGCTCCGCCGGCTGGACCGATTTGGATGATCAAGGTGTCAAACGATTCGGATGTCCAGCGAATAGACGTAGACCCGTAGACAGATTTCTGTAATCAGACTGATAGTTTTCACGATATTAAGTGAAATGTCTCAAGGTCGATTTACATCAAACGAACATAGAGCTAGAGCTAGAACAAGAGCATTCTTTCGTAATCTTTTAGTGTAAACGAAAGCTAGAGGTATCGATTTACATCAAACGAACATAGAGCTAGAGCTAGAACACAAGAACGCTTTGAAAAGACCGCTCAGTGGCGCGAGCACGTCCGAACACGCTAGAACGCTCTAAGCGACTGTTCGCGCGCTCTTGCGCCGTTTACATCAAGCGAACGAGCATTCTTAGAATATTCTATAGAATCTTTGCGAACGCACTAAGAACAACGAAAGAATGCTCTACGCCTGTTTACACTAGAAGAATTTGATGTAGTGGGGATAGAATGAGCATTCGCTCGTTTGATGTAAATCGACCTTCAGGAAAGTCAAAAGCTCGCGCCGCCGCGTCAGCATTAGGCGCTTATAAGTGGATGGTTTAAAAACCTATACCAATAAAGGTATAATGTATAATAATAATAATTGTTATAGTTGTAGCGATATAAAGGATTATGTTTATGGACCCAAAATAGTGCATTGAAAAGCTCTTATACGTTTAAGATCTATACTTTAAATGGACGAGATGAAAACGTCTCAGCCGATGTTTTCGATTCTTCAAGGATGTGATCACCCCCGATACGATGCATTGGACTGATTGTTAATTAATCTTTTGACTGAGCAGTTTGGGATCTCTAACAACTTTTTTCTCTCTGAATATCTCGATTCGTGACTAAACTCGACTATAAACTCAACAAAACTAACTAGAACTTGATAAAACCAAAATTCCCCTCCGCGAAGTGTCAACCACTGTAAGCCCCACGGTACACACAAAAAGGAAATAATTCATTATAGTTGACCTCAAACTATGTGGCAGGGCTATTATTTCAACAATTCGTGTTGTACGTTCGGATATGTATAATAATATGCTTGCATGAAAAGCGTCATTGCAGACATGATGAAATAACCCCATAATGTTCAATGCTCTATCTAAAAATGATAAACCGAGCTCTGATTGTATCTTACTTCGTAGATAAATAACGAATGAGATGTCTTTTGACGGAATATTATTTCTACTGAAGCTTTATGCGTCTATAACTGTGCCCGTGTAAGTAAATTTAATTGTTTGCCAACTCCTATATATAGTACTTAGAAATTGTGGGTATTTTTAAGTAAATAATGAACAAAAATCCGGCTTTGAAGCAAACACGAAGATACTCAAACAACACATTGCACTCAGAAAATATCCTCGTCTTCTCCAAATAGCAACTCCGAAGTCCAGTGGTTTATTATGGTTATTGGTAACGCGCCGTGAAAACTGACATAAATCCGCAGAGCCGTCGGATCGACGCTAAGTAGGTCACTGGATCAATACAGCCTTACGGCTTACGCGCACTGACAGACATACATTCATTTAATTTTATTGTATGGGGCACACTAATGAATCGCACCTGTGCGGTGTCTGGGCTGCTAATAAAAGTAATCGCACTTCAGATACTTTTTGTTTTCCATCTACATGGACCAAGTCGACAGTACATACAAAGTAAATAACTATGTGAAACGGTTCACAAATTTCCAAGTGATCCTCGCTGATCGGTCTGGTCGTCGCAATGAAGACGTCTATATGAGTTAGACACTTTTTATCTTTTAATAGATATGTCAACCGTTCCTTCATTTTATTAAAGCGTGTTTTCGTATATTTCATCAGCTGTGTAAATGTAAAATAAGGAAAATTAAGTTGGAATTTTAATGGTCAGTGCCACATCATGGCCGTTTTACGTGACTCTACTAAGATTTGCTTAAGCGTTTGCCCGCTGAACTAAAAAATTAAGACTTTTTATTTTGTATCAGAAAAAAGGAGCAAACACAAAGTGATGATACTTTGTCACCCCTGATCCTGTGACGAAATGAAATAGTGACAAGGTTATTCACCCCTCTGTGGGTGATTTAAACGAAACTGACACCAGTTGGTATTTGACTCGCGTATCTATTTGGTACGGTTTCACGGCTAACTGAACACGGCTTAAGCCATCTAATTTTTTATAGATCGGGCCAAAGGGCGCAGTGACCTTTACGTGACCGGCCATTGAGAATATAAAGAATTAATTTTGTTTATTACGTAGCACATAACACGTTATTATACAGCTTTTCTTGTGTCACCATTTCGTTATGGAAAAAGAAATGTCACAACAGGGCTTCTGCGAAGCCACGCCTAGTCAGTATTAAAACGTAATTCCAAGTTCATGTAAGTCATGCTGTAAAAGCCTAGACTAGATGTGGATGTGTTTGTTCGGGATCTAGGTCATTTAACAATCAGGCCACGCACTTAGCTCGTGCACTATATTATGTTAAATTACATAACGGCTCTGTTATTGTCATATTCTAATGTGTACATATTGTACGGGACGGGAGCCACTGTAGGTTTCGACAACCCACTCTATACATGAGTACGGGGGATAGTAGGTGTGGTCAAATTAAATATGGTGAGTGACTTAGACCTAAAATTGATAGCGTGTGTTAGGCATAGAAGGCTGATCACGTATCTGAAATCTGCGACATCTCTACATATAGGCCTAAGTTAATGTATATATTTAAATAAAAGTTATTTACTGCTATTTCCTTAATAACATTATTTTCATACCCGACAGCGAGAAACAATGTAAGTAAATAATGCAATAAATTTGT